TTCCGAGGCACAGCCAGGGCTCTGAGGACACCGTTCCAGTGTGCTGGGTAGTATCTGAGAGTGAGCTCCTGGAGGTTCCCTGAGTGACTCTTCCATGGAAAACTTGATGCTACTTACATGTAAGTCAGTTTCAATTGAAAGTCACTGGCTACAAGACACTGGCAGTACGGTGATCTGGTTTTAGTTGGTGTGATGGTTTGGGTGGGTCCGCAGTGCGTATGTTAATGTATTCGGAGGTGGCCTCCATAAAATGAGGTCTTGAGGGTCGCACCTCCCTGGGTCCCTTAGTGGCTTTAGAGAAGAAAAACTCAAACTAGCGAGCTTGCGGCATCTCTTGTGCTGCCCTGGAACTGCAGAGTCCTCAGCAGCAGGAAGACTGTCACTGAACAGGGACTCTCGGCCTTCAGATCGCCAGAACCAGGCGCTGAGTAAATCTCTTTAAAATATACATACTCAACCTCAGGTATTTTGTAATAGCAACAGAAAAAAAAGACACTTAGGTTCAGTTCTCCCAAACATAATTTCCTCATCTGTCAAGGGGCAGACTAACCAGGAAAAGGGACTCAAAATGTGCTTCTACAGCAACATTGGCATCAGCTCAGAACGTCTTAGAGAGGGCCCGGTGAGCTGGGAGATTCTGCGTGATTTCTGTGTGCTCCAGTTTGAGACCTTTTGGACTACCTGAAATTTGCATAGTCTTTCTGCTCTGAAACTGACCATTTCTGTCTTTGAAGGAAAACCTCTACACTATTCTAGAAGAGGTTTTTTAGCCAGCATTGTTCTTGGAGAATCACTTTTGAGAGACTTTTCTTTGGAACTAGAAATCGAACTCAGGACTTTGTGCTTGCTTGAATATTGGGATGAAAAGGCCTAACTCAGTTCTAGTGTTGTTAATGGTAATATTATGTCTTTAAACCAACACAGTATTAGCAGAGGACAAGGAAGAATGTGACTTCTTTAGATAGAAAGGACAGCTAACGGGGGTTGGCAGCTGGGGAGACTGCCTGATTATCCAAATCCTCAGCAAAAAGTAAGTCCTGACTCCGGCTGGACACCAAGAGACGCAGGTCCTGATGGGACACCAAGTGACACCATGGCAACCCTTCCAAGGTGGGCACTGGGACCGTGAAAGCTGGAAGAGCGCATGCTTGACCTAACCTCATTTTCCAGGAGAAACTGAGGCTCGGATTAAGAGACGTGACTTACTGGCTGCATTGCTTAGCAGCCAAGTGCAGGTCTCTCACGTGTCTGAAAACATCTCCTTTTCTTGTGTTGTTTGGGGTCGAGGTAAACTGCTGTCCATCCTGGTTGTCAGAACAAGATCCATCCCAGCCGCTTCTAAACTGTGTGTTGTGCACACAGAGATACACAACCGGATTAATCCGCTAAATACTAGTCACAGCTGAACACGGTCTTCCCTCTCGCCACTTGTGGAGAGCATCATTCAGCCACCGCTGGTGTGTTCCATCCGCTGCCCACCCAGAGTGTCGGCAGCCTCCTTTTCTGCAGGGCGGGAGGATGAGCCCTTCTCTCTGCCCCCCTCGTATCCGGAGGGGTTGTAGGAAGTGCTGGGCTATCCACACCTTCACCCACTTGAACTCCAAGCAAAAGGGGCCTGGAAATAGTTGCCTGCCCCTCCTGTCTGCAGTCCCTGCCGTAACTCGGGCTCTTTGTAGGACACGGTTGCTAAAATTCCAGAGGCTTAAGGATTTGCCTTGACAACCGACAGAAAAAGGGCAGAGGATGAAGCCTAAGCTGGCTGCGCTCCTGTTGTGTTAGGAATGGTTCCCCTTGCCTGTGGTCACGCGGTGAGAACTTTGTTTAAAGCCCCATCCGTCTGACCTCAAAGCCATGTCCAAGGAGGACTCTACCTCCCTGTTTAGGTGTGTACTGCCCAGCTGTGAGGTTGAGGGGAGCCACACAGATAAGAAATCCATTAGATAAAAGGTAACCAAAATCCCACATTTTCAAGTGAACTGATAGGCCATTTTATTTTATTTTATTATTTTTTAATCAGTACTGGGGATCGAACTCATGAACACACGCTTGCAAAACAGGCCCTTGTGCTGCTGAGCTAAATCCCCAGCCCCTGGCAGGCCATTTTAAAGGCTAACACAGAATCAGATTTTTTTCTTTTTTAAGAAATGCTTCCTTTTATACATATATACACATCTCGGCATAGAAACTCGGTCAGCTAAGGGAAGAATCTGAGAACTAAATGTGTGGTGGCTTCAGACTTAGCAGCTGAGGGACTGAAGCACAGAAGAGCCTCTGAGCAGACCCTGTGGCAGGAAAGCTTTGGTGTCGCGCAGCTCTGACTAACTTGCATGTCCTGGAAAAGTCAATCTATTTGCTTGGCCCCATTGTGGTTCTGGGCAGAGTATAGCTGGCCTGTTGAGAGTGTGAGCCTTCAGTTTGTTCTGTATCTGTCCTCCTTCTGAGACATCACCTCAGCCAGTCTCTGCTCTAATTGTCTAAGTATATGTAGCTACCAATAGGTGGACGCCGGGCATTGCAGATTTTTATCATTGTTAGAGAAATATCAAAGTGTCCCATGACTGTAATCCATAAGGCTCAGGTGTTTTGAAGTTGTGAGACTTCCATTTAATCGGGGTGAGATGCTTTGTTGAGCTTTGTTCAAACGACATTAGGTTTTCTTGGCCTGCCACTTAGAGAGTCAAAATGTAAAATCCTGAGTCAGTGTTTCCCGCTGTGAGGAGCTAGCCCTGGCCCGAGCCAGCAATGTTAGTTCTGCACCAGTGTAGGCTTGACAGGTGGACGTGGGAAATTAGAAACTCACAGAAGAAGGACAAGGTGAATTCTTGGGTGACAATGGATTAGGAAGCTGGGAGACACTGGAGGTCAAGGGGATATTTGTCCCCAGTATCACAACAAGGTAAGAATGCAATAGTCACCATCCAGGGTCCAGCAGTGCCAACACTGGGGGAACTGTAGAACTGATCCACAGTGTTAAAATAAGGTCTAACTCAGGCAGAGCCGGAGAGCAAGACCCAGCAGGGAGTGAACAGGACTGTCAGAGCTGCTGGGCAGAACTGGAGAGTGCTCCCACCGGCCAGGTGCTTGAGTTCTGGTTATGGCACCTGCCAGCGACCCGACCTTGGACCAGGCACGTTTCCTCTCTGCATTCCCTCTAAAAGGGGGACATTGATGGCTGTCCTGCCTCTTTTATGAGACTATTGGGTTTTCACATAGAGGGGAAGTGAAAGAGGTTTGTTAAACTCAACAATGAGCAGAAGTGACTTTGAGAAACTAAACAAGTGTCCCCGCTGGGGTTGTACAGTCATCCATTACTGATCCCAGATCCCCAGCACACGTCCAAGACCCTGCTATAAAACGGTGTGGCATGTGTGTCTAAACTGGGCGCACCGACATGTGTTAGGTCGTCCCTGGATTAACACCAAACACAGTGTAAGTGCCGTATTGTTTCTATTGCCTACAAAATAATAAGAAAATCTGTACACATTTAACAGAGAAACAAGTTTATTCTCTAGATATTTTCAGTTAGAGTTGATTGAACTTGTGGATGCAGAATCTGGACCTGCAAGGCTGACTGTGACCCCATCGCAAATCTGTGACAGATGTGGGCGTTTCCGAGGCTCCCGGGGGCAGGGGGCAGCGTCTGGGGCTGCGCTGGCTGGCGGACACCAAGCTCAGAGAACAGAGCGGTCACTCCCCTGGCTGGGGTACCGAGAGGAAGCAGCGGGGTGAGGGAGGAGCACGGGCCGCTGCCCACGAGAACGGGGGAGGGCAAGAGAGTCTTCATGTCCGCAGATCTTGCAATTACTCTGGTAGCAGCACGGATGGCTGGATAATGTGAGGGCCGGGGAAGAGGCCAGCTGGGGTCCCACTGCAGGAACCTGAGGACAGCTGTGAGGGCCAGCAGTGCTTACCTGGTGCTATTCCATTTAAAAAACAAACTCATTACAGACCCACACAAACAGCACTTGTCTTGAAAAATAACTTTTACAAAACTGAAAAAAAAAAGAATGCAGTTTTATACTTCTACAAACTCTAGAAAGCCCCATTTTATGGGAGACAAACGTGGAGCTCCACAGCTGCTTTGCCTTTCACGTGGTGCAATATAGTCGTGGGTTAAGGGGATGAAGCAAAGCTGCTCACATCAGGTGCCACGTGACATCGCCACCCTCCCAAAGGCTCCTCAGACTCAGCGTGATGAAGCCTCAGACGTTCCTCTTAGCTGGTCTTTTGCTATGTCTCGAGCCAAAGAACAGCCAGGAGTGATTCTAACGGAAACTTGTGATTTGCCCTCTCCCTCACCCCCACCTCCTGCCCACAAACCTGCAGCCAGGGCCGTCAGTCACCACTACTGGATGGCAGGCATTGCGGTATCTATCTAAACCCCCAAGCTGGCAGAAATGGGGTTTGTCAGAAATGGTAGGTGAGCTGGCAGAAATGGGAGCAGGTTCAGGGCTCAGAACCCTGAGACCTGGGTGCTGTGGTCTACTGGCCACAATGCTTAGGGTGGCATAAGATGTCCCTTTGGTTGGGGCGAGTCAGATGCCAAGGACTTGGAACCAAGGGCAAGAGGTGGTCCGTCAAGCTTCCACTCTAATTCCTTGGGTAGAAGAACACGGTTTCTCCAAGCGGAGAGGCCATTCCCCCCACCCACCCTAGAACAGATCGAGGTTTCCCGGGACTCCCTGCCTTGCTTAGCCTTATGAAACTGGAGGAGAATTTTCAGATGTGGTGGGTTAAAGGCTGAGATTTGTGTCCCCACAGTGACTCCTTCACGGTGGCTTCTCGGTGGCCGCACTCAACACTGATGACGCCGCTTGCGGCTTCTCCTTTCACGGCCACAGGCAGCCACGCTGACAGGCTGGGCCTCTGCAATAGAGTGACTGTAAGCCACAAGTGCGGTCCGCAGACTCGGACTGCCTAACCCGGGCAATTCCTGTATCTCCAGCAGAAACTAACCAACCCCAGCCTTCGCACAGTCACAAGAAAAAAAGAAAACACAGTTTCTGAGTAAGAAATTTATTTGATCAAATGGCAACATATGAAGATATTTTAAACTGTAAGGCTTTATTCAGGTATAATGGATCTTTACTATAAAGTAAATGTTACCAAAATAAATGATGCCTAGAAAGTTTCCTGTAATGTATCTATATGAAACACTCATAAAATTCTCATGTACTTTAAAGCTAGGCTGACATAACAGAAAACTTATAAGTGGTACTTACAAGCAAGTTTCTTAAACATATGACACTTACACTATCTCACACACACAGGTGCTTGAGTTTTGTGATAAAATACAGCTACCATCAGTGAGAGCATCGTCCCAAGAGGAGGACCGAGGCAGCGAGCAGTGTGCTGAGCCTTGCATTCCCGCCCAAGGTCCCACAAATCCTTGGCATTCTGAATTAAGTAGGTGGCACTTAATTATCCATTCAGTAATAATTAGAAAAGGAGTTTGGGGAGCCAGGAAGAAAGAGAAGGGAGAAACAGCCAAGACAGGTCAGGCTCAAGTTTCCTGCGAAGCAGCTTTAGAGATGACCAAGGAAAGGGATTTGGTTTTTAAAGTGAGTCTTTGGAGCTGCACCTGGGCCTGGAGGGCTCTCACCTCTGAAGGTAGGGTGGACTCACACGCCACACATCTGGCTGGGAGCCCCCACACCTGAGCATGAAATCTTTACTGGGGTGCACTGGCAACAGGCAGTGTGTAGCTTACACCAGTGTCTCCCAAATACTTTCCAAGTACTCAAGTGACTGTGTGTGGGGCACAGTAAGACCTCGGGAGCATAAACTGGCAGCTCCAAGTCATAAGAAAGTAAAGCTTCAGACACTCAGGAGAAGCAGGTACTGTGGTGGCGTCTCAAGTGCACACACTAAGCAGCAAAGCACAGGAGACCAAATTAGTGTGACACACAGGAAAGGTCCCAGAAAGCCAAGGAGGGTCACTGAAAAGTAATTACATAGCACCCATTACTACCGTGTTGATAAATACCATTGAGGATGTATACAGTATCTATGCTTTTTGTAAATACAAAAATTTATGAGGGCTTTCAAAGCATTTTAAACACACACTCTAATATAAATACTGCACCCTAACGTCATACAACCAACTTGATGTTAGCTAGATGTGGGATTATATATAGAATAGTTTTTGCAGACCTTTCGTGTACACTCATCACATAGCTAAGTGAATGCCAAAAAACGCAGGCAGCGTCTCACTGGAGACTTTGGCAGGAGACGTGTTTTTATCTGTGTATTCATGTGTTCTACAAAGATACAGCTGTACAAATGAGTTTAAAGTCCCCCATGGAGAGCTCTCACTTGAAATACTTCTCATCGCTGCCTCATAAGCAAGTGTAGGTGGGCGGGCGTCTCAGTGGGCTGTGGTTTCTTTTCTCTCAGTGGCACTGTCTTCCTTGGAGGTGTGTATTTAAAAATGGTTTCATGTTTCCCATTCAGGCTAAGTGGCTCTTTTAAGATTCCTAACCTTGAGATTGTAATCTTCATTATCCATGACACTGATACACACACATTTCAGTGAAACAGTAAATGATTTTAGGTAACTTACTTTTCGCAAAGTGATTTTAAAACAGGTTTGTTCCAAGCACGCAAGAAACCAACCTCCAAATGCAACCAGGCTGATCATCTGCAGTGACCTGAGCTGTGTAACACTGACCAAGTCTGATGAGCCAGGGAAAGGGACAGGGTAAGCAAACGCCAAGGTCCCACGGACTCGAGGAACATTAAAACTGTGGCTACGCAGAATGTAAAATTACCTTCTCCTCAGGGAGACAAGTGCTGTCTAATGACATGATAGCGTGATTTTGTAAATTGGCTTTCTGCCTGTGTGAACTCAGTGGGCTGCCTGAGTTTAATGGTTCAAGAAAAACAAACTAACACTCTTACACTTTCAGTCCAGAAACTCAGCCAGGGGGGTTTCCAATGGGAAAGCGAAGGGCACCTCACTCACCGTGTTCATCTCTCTAAACCAATCCCTCACTCAGCAAACTGAGGAGCAGTTACAGCAGTAAAGTGAATCAGCCTTTTTACTCAGATGTGAATGAATCAGTGTTTGGTAAAGGTATCAACGCTGGATGACCAGTCTGCATGAGTTTCCTAGCACAGAAATGTAACTTAGGGTTTTAAAAAGGTGACAGAGGATGAGGAGGTCACCCTAGACTGGCTTATTTTCTTCTCTAACAGAAGTTACCCCATGCCAAGGAGGTTTCCTTTGGCTCAGCTCACCTGAAGATAATCCCACCTGCAACTTTTCTTAGCTATTTAATGAAACTATAAACAAACTAGGACAAGGCCTAACAGCTGAGTGACGGGCCGCACTCAATGAAGTGGCCTAGCCCAGGCCACTGCCACACTGACGAGATGGACTCATGATTTAAGCAATTACATTCTTATTTCTCACCAGGCAAATACCACTGTTTCCTAAAACTCCCTTCTGTGGTCATAGAAAAGAAAATTCTGGAATCAAGGTCCTCCCTGCAATACTGAGATTGGGCACCCACGGCGAGACCCGGGCTTCACATCCACAGCTCTGGCACTGAGTACCTTGTGCACTTTAACAGACACCTCTGCCTTGGAAGGGAAAATCTGAGCCCACAGAATCAGACCGGGGGTGAAGCTGACCCCACGGCACTTATCGCAAGAGAAAGCATCTAAGAGTGTGGGCGACCGACGTGGCCCCACATCACACAGGAGCGGAGCGTAGCTGAAAGGTGACTCTGAGCTCAGAAGTGTTTCCATTTGTTATCGGGGCAGCTTCGGGTTTCAGACCAGCTGAGGAACGACATAATAAAGGGGTAAGGCGAGTAAACTCGGATGAGTTCGGTCACTATCAAACTATCTACATGGTGCCACTAAGTAAAGCGATCTGGCGGAGGAATGCTCCTGACCAGGGGCAAAAGAAAACCAGTTAAATCACATCTTTCTCTAAAATTGCCCAAGAAGTCAACCGAGCAACGTGTAAGATTTCCTGCTTTTTAAACGTTGTCTCAGCCTCCATTTTAACTAACATTTTTATAGAAAGTGTCACACAGACCCCAATTCTAAATGGCCACAGTGGAGAAAAATGAGCTATCACTTGGAAAAATAAATAAAAAGCCATTCGCATGGACAGAACTCTGTTTTCAAAGTTAAAACAATAATCTACTGTATCTAGAAAATGCTGTAAAAATGTCTTTAAAAAGAAACATTTAGCCAGAAGGCTCAGTAAAACATAAAAAGCTGGCCAACGAAAGGACAGGTGAAGTAACCGTCCCACCTCTGACCCTCGGACTCCGCCAGGCTGGATGGACGAAAGCAGCAGAGCCTAAAAGCCATGAAACAGTGCTGGTATGTTCAGAGTTTCTTCAGGACAATTTCCCTCTTGGTAACTTGAATGCTGATCAAGGAAACTGATGCACTTTAAATGTATTTGGAGACGCAGGTTCAAAGACCTCATCGTCGTCTTCCACGCCTTCCTGGATAGGCTTCATCTTGGCAGAAGCTCGCTGGTGTGGGGAAGACACATCTAGGAGAAAACAGAAAGGAAAATGCTGAACGCATAGCCAGCCCGCTTGCCGGCATGAGGCAGCGACTACAAACCCCGCTGAAAACACAACTGAGCAGCCACAGAGAGAAACAGCAGCTCAGCGCCTCTGCTGCCACATTTTCAATCCAGCATTTCAATGAAAGGGCAGAGTCAAGAATGAGATTCTTAGGCTGGGGATTTAGCTCAGTGGCTTACGTGCCTGCCTGGCAAGCACAAGGTCGTGAGTTCGATCCTCGATACCAAAAACAAACAAACAAACAAAAACAGAATGGATAGCAGGAAAGTCCAGTGTGGCCAGCAAGAGGAAACACTGTGTGTGGCATGGTGGGAAAGAGCGTCCCTAGGGCTTTTCAGGATGCCATTTAATCAAGAGGAGCCAAGGAACATTTCATTCAGTCACTTACTGGTTCCTGCATTCATCGAAGGCTTATCACACATCTACCAGAAAATGGACATCACGCTTGAAGAAGGAAATACCAGCCAAAAGAGCAGAAATGATGACAAACAGAGCTCTCCAAGGGGCCAAATGGACAGTTTGTGTGACAGCATAAACACAAAATCGCTTCCACACAGTTGCCTAACGCCGGTCAGGATCCATCTTCCCCACCCACTCCAGCAGCACTGGGTGTGTATCCACGACGCCCACTCGAAGAGCAGCCGCTGCTGCACTCTGGCTGGGCGAGAGCTTGGTGGTGGGACCGTGGATGAAGCCCGACTCCTGAAATACCTGATAATACCCAAGGATAGTAGAGGGATCTGAGCAGACTGGCTACACCATGGCCACAGAAATCTGTCAAGACAGCTGTCATTTGGGGCAAGCATCAGGAGCAGAGGCAGGGCCGGCCAGCGCCGAGCATGCTTCAGTCAGTAGGGAGGAGCAGGGCACCAGCACCCTGCAGGCTGGCCCCTCGGAAGAAGGCAGACCAGGACGAAGGCAAATCACTCTGAAAAAGCGGTCATTCCCTGGTCTCAGAGTGGCTGACACACTGGGAGGCCACAGCCACAGTGGTCAGGGTTACGTCCATGGCTCAGATCCCTGCCCTGCTGCTTCCAAGCTGGATCACCCGCACCGGGCACTACACGTAAGCATCAGATTCCATGTCTGCAGAAACGGGACAGTCACGCGAACCATGTCATAGGTTGTCAGGAGGGCTAAACAAAATCACAGTATTTAGCCACATCTGTAATACACACAACGGCAACACACCCACTTTATTTTGACTGAGGACGTGAAACTGTTGGTGTGAACATTTTAAAACCCACTTATCAAACCCGGAGTGACAGTCTGTATATCCCAAGGCTAGGATCCAGAATAGAGACAAGATGTCAAGCTCAAAATCCAGGCTGTCAGCCAATGTTGAGGCTGAGACTTAGCAGAGAGAGCCCTGAACCTAACAGCGGACACCTCTGCTCATGACTGATCGCAGCGGGTGACGACACTGAGGGCACCACAGGGGCTCTGACTGTGGCCAGCAGAATCTCTCCGCAGCACACCTGTCCAGGGAGCGGCCAGTGCCTCTCCTGGAAGAGGACAGCGTTTTCTGGGAAGGCCTCACTGCCTTCCCTGAGGCTCCTGCCTGTCTTAAGTCCCCTGAGTCAGAATTTGATCCCTACTAAGCTCACTGAGATTTCAGTGTGCTTCTAATTACACGAAGGCCTAAGGGTCTCTGCTGGAAGTAAAACTAAACAGACATATTTGTTGTTTTGAAACCAGAGCAGAGGTCACGCCGGCCCCTGAGGATGAGTAAGTTACCTCAAGTCTGGGCCATGAGTGCGTGGCCTGGTGTGAAGTTTGCTGAATGACTCTTCTTGGCTGACCAAACACTGCTTAACAAAGCACCAAACTTCCGTAACCTAACGGGTAGGATGTTCGAAGCCCTTCTTTATCCACTCTCCTACTAACTCTAAGGACATTTTCTTCATTCTGTTCAAAGTGGTATTATTTTTATGATGTTTAACCATCTGGCCAACTGCTTTAGCAAGGAATTAAAAAACTTACAAGGGTTCTGAATTTTAATTAGATTATACAGTGTTTGCTCAATGGGGGTAGGCAAGGATTTAGTGGTTTCTCTGCTGGAAAAACTTACTCCTTTTCCTGCCTTTGCCTATTTAAACCATTTTTTTTTCTTTTTCCTCTTTTTCTCACTGCTGAGGATCAAACCAAGAGCTTCATCATGCTAGATAAGCTGTCTACCACCGAACTTTCCCAGCCCTGTAAGATTTTTGGGAGAACTGAGTTTTAATTGAAGCTTTCTGAACACAGCCTGAGGATAGCTGTGGCCTTTATATCTAATTTTCCCTTAAATCAGCACCAAAAAAAAAAAAAAAAAAAGTAAAAGCATGCTGATGAGGAGGTGGGCCTAGCTTCCCGGCTTCCAGGAACAGGTTTCTCTGCCCCACTGGGTCACTTGAGGATCCTTTCCGACCACTTGGGTGGGTGACCAGGGCTCCCTACAGCTTCACCTTTAAAAATCACACAGAGAAAAAAGGAAGGGAGGTCTAGGAAGAGTACTTAATGTTACAAAGGTAAACCAGAAAAGAGGAAGACCCAGGCGCATCACCATCTAGAGAAAGGGGAAGGGAAGCCAGACGGTAACGGCTAAGTGGCTAAACCCATAAACAGCACGTTACGCAGCTTTCTGAAGAAAACCTGTCCCGAAGTAATTTTGTAGGGGAGCCTGGCTAAAATTAAGTTTCAAGAGGTTAGGTTCTTATTGTTAACATTTCTTTTTTGACTATCTGATGTCTATGTATATTAGCTTGATAATTTTTAAATTAAGATTTAAAATGTCCACCTGAATGCAGTCCATTCACTGATGCCTTCAGGTGAGGAAGCTGGTCATGGCTGGACAGGGGACGCAACGGCCCCGGGTCAGAGTTCAGTCCCTGCGGCCTGCAGGACAAGCACCCGGCGCGATAATGTCATAGTCCTCAGCCCCCGTGGGGCAATGAGCAGCTACCCACAAGGCATGCAAATGCCCGGTGGGCACGCGTCAGCCGCCACAGCAGTGGCTGAGCGCGCTCGAGCTGATGCTGGTAACTGCAGGGTAGCAGAGCAAAGCGGGAATGCGGCAGGTTCACCGCTTCCGGGTTTCAAGGCTGGCGAGGGACCCTGAGCAGTTAGCCAGCCTCCCGGAGCTGCAGTTCACTCATCTGCAAAACAGGGCGCTGCCTCTCTCCGGCCCATCCGGTGAGTCCCAGAACTGCTCAGGGGCTCCTCCTGTGCGGATCACGTCTTCTCCCGTGCCGCCGCTGAGTTCATGCAAAACCGATTGTTTGTAAGGAACAAAATGCAACCCGAGCTAAACAGATTATTTCCTGAAATGAGCCTGGAAACTAGGAATGCTATTTTGCTTTTCTGTATCACTCCAGGTAAATCATTACATAAGATCTGACAGAAACCCGTCCCATCATGTTGCTAGTCCTTACAAATGAGAATCTAACCAGATGCACGCTAACTGAGGTATACGTGTACAGCTGGTGATGTTCGGTCAGCAGATTGTCAGGAACACCACATGAACTCCAACAACAAAACATATTTTAAAAGATTTGTTTCTTGGCCAGGAGTGTTGGGGGACACTTATAAACTCAGCACTCAGGAGGCTGAGGCAGGAGGATCACTCCAAGTTCAACACCAGCCTAGGCTATACAGTGAGTTCAGGACCAGCTTGAACTACATGGTGAGAAACTGTCTCAAAAAAAAAAAAATATTTCTCACAAGAATTAGCTAAGTATTTCACAGCATCTTTGATAACATCATGAAACAATGATGTAAAATGACATTCTTTCAAAGATGAGTTCCTGCTGAGACTACCTATATTGTCTCATGATTCAAAAACAAAACAAAACAAGCCCAGATACAAACGCAAGGTCATGAGTTCAATCCCCGGCACCAAAAAAAACAAATTAAAAAAAATTTTAAAAGCCCAGACAACAGGTTATTTAAACTCAATGAACCTTCAAGGAGATGGAACACGCCCTCCTGTTACCATGACAACACCTACGCCCTGGCACTGCTTATTTATGTAGAAACTGACAAGAACACTGCACACCCCATCTGTGAGGGCAGAAGGAAGACACCAGAACCTTGCAAGAAGCGCAGATGACGAGGTTCCCCGATGAACAGTGCCGCGGTCCAGCAGTGGTGGACAGCTTCTCACTCAGGTTGGGCATCTCACCTGGCCTCTCCCCATCCATATATGCAAAAGGACTCCAGTCAACAAGCCATGGGGGTGGGGGGAGCTCATTAGGTTATAAGCTGCTGCATCCAGGAACAAATCTTCCTCAGCTGTCTCACTGCCTCTCCCCGTCAGATGACAGCTGGATGTGGAACACAATCTTTCCAAGAGAGGAGAGATCTGCTGTGGGTTCAGCAGCATAAGAGGTGTACACACAGAGCACAACACAGAAAAGGAACCGGAGTGGCAGTCTGCACTGAGCCCGTTCCCTGGAAGGCTCCCTTTGCCTGTGACGGACTGCATTGTGTTTAACAGCACACCTGCTGTGTACTGAGAAGTATATTTCTTTTTTTGGTCTTTTTCGTTTGTATCGGTACCAGGGATCGAACTCACCACCACACACTTGCAAGGCAGGCGCTTATGCCGCTGAGCTAAATCCCCAACCCCAAGAAGTATATTTCTGTGTTAAATCCCAGACTTGTGGGGATCTTTGAAAGTCCACACAAGCCTCTATCCTGAACTACCAATAGATGAGAAATACAAAGTGTGATCTAAAAACACAGAGAATAATTTTAAAAAATTATTATCATGAAAGGCACTGCCATTAATCCCCCTGGAAACGTTTCCCTGTTCTTCGAGCACACTGTTCTTGCCATTTTCTGAAGCGGTTCTGAAGTCTTCCTTCATGAGTTTCTTTAGCTGCACCGTTGTGGCTGCCTGGATGTCCTGAACTGATTCCAAAAGTTGACCTTTCATGGTCACCTCAGCTCCGAGGCAGAGCCACACACTCACGGTGCCAGGTCCAGGGAATAAACACACCGCAGTGCTTCTGTTTGACAGAAATTTCTGTAAACTGCTGCAGGAGTGCTGAGATCACAGGATAAGTGTGTTCTACGTGAAGTGGAGTGGGTTTTTTTGGGGGGGGGGTAATGTCAATCTGTCTTTAACAACTTGTTTTATTTAAACTGCACCGTTTTGATCATGCCATGTACAAGAATGTCAAAATCACCCCCTGTTGTAGTCAGGGGTTGTACACAGAGAACAATTCAGATCAGGACATGGAGTTTATAATATTTTTATAATGGTCACCAGAAGTTAACACAGAAAAATGCAGGAAATCTATCCGCAACACCAAAGACATAGATTATTTAGTCAAGAGCCTAAACCCCACGGCAATGTCCCACATGAGTCCAGATAAAAACCCAGAGCTCACCACAATGCCTCCACGAGTCCAACTGGAAGTCCAGGGCCCACAAGACTCACGCCAGTTTCTTTTATGGATTCGTGCTAGGAAGACCCAAGGGTCAGCGGTGGAAGCCAGAAAGTCCATGCCAGCAGGGTGAAGGAGCTGTGGTGGCAGGTTGAAGGTTCTGTGCTGGAGCCGAGAAGTCACACTCACAACAAAGACCAGGGCTGTCCTGAAAGGCACCACAGCCATCCTCAGTGACACAGAGGCCCCGAGCTCCTCTGATGACAAGCACAGTTGGGTACATGCCAGGAAGCAGCGTGACGAGTTCATCCTGGAGACCAAGCGACATATATCTTCCCCTCTGGAGCCAGGAAGCAATGCTCGATGTGAGGACCAGAGCTTCTCCAGGAGAACCAACAGCTCAGACAGCAACTGGCAGGAGAACCCACAATGCCGCCTTAACGCCTCAACCCTCCACACCTCCCTTCTTCTCCACCTATTTATCCTGGCAACTTTCCTCAGGTGGAGCGTCTTCGCTCAGTGCCATGCTGATGTAATCCAGCTGGCGTTAAGTTGACCACCAGTTCTCAATCCATAACACCCCCACAGGACGCAATCAGCAGAATTCAGGACTCAGGCAACATCCACAGCCTCTGCTCAGAGTGCAGCTCACAGACCAGCCACCCGGGCATCACCCGGGGTCCTGTTAAACCACCGCCCCTCCACACTTGCCCATGAGGAGCCTTAGTAAGATCCCTGTGATGCATGTTTAAGAATGTTCTACAGGGCAAACAAAAAAATCAAAACAGTGCCGAAATCCACAGAGAGACAGAAAGAGACAAAAATGGAGAACGTGAATTAGACTCGGGACGGACCCACCAGACACAATGTGCACCTGCGGCTGAACAGTAGCGTCAAGCGCCAGCCAAATGTCATTTTCACATCTTTTCTTTTTAAAACACAGAGGCAATTTTTTTTTTTATTTTAAAGAGAAGAAAACAGAAAGAGAACAGAACAGAGCAAATCAGAACAGAACAATGCAAGCAACACAGCACTTCACAACAAGACAACAGGACATCAACAGCAGCTACCATAATGTCTCTTTTCTTTGAAATAGATGAGCATAGCTTCACACACAATAGTATCAAACATAATAGTATAAAACCATTCAAGAGAATGAAAGCATTAAAGAACTTCAAAACCAAATAACAGGAAATGAAAATGGCTACTGTAATACCTCACTTTCCTCAAAAAAGTTGTCCACACCATCACACATAATAGAATCAAATAAAACACAACAGGATAGAACCAATCAAAACAGAACAAAAGCATGGCAGGACTTCAAAGCAAGATGACAGGAAATCAGCAGTGGCTGCCATATGCACAGAGGTCATTTTGAAACTGACCTACAAAACACCAGCATTGCTGTTCCTAAAAACCGTTCAAGACGCTTTTCAGAAGGTAGATGTACAAGCCTAGGACGTGACATAAAATGACCCAGGCAACATCAAAAGCTCTGAGGAACAGGACCGGAAGGGTAAGAATGGGCCCTGTGGCCCAAGGTTAGAAGTGAGGGCTGCTATCAAGAGTTCTGAATTTTCCGCAAGCCTCACACGGTCCAGCCTAAAGGCTGCAGAACATTCCAGCAGGACTCCTGGTTACCGCCACCAATCAGCTCGCCACCGCCTCTTAGCCCAGGGCCTTAAATTCCTCACCACAGGCCACCGGGAGAGAGGCCTGAGCTCGTCCCGTCAGCTGGCCAGCAGTCCCCTCAATGCGCTGGGTGTCCTTGCTGGGTACCACTCTGGTCTACAAGCACGAGCTTTGCAACTCTACAGCACCCCTAGGTTTGTACCCAGCCCTGGGCAATGAAAATGGGGAACGAACACACGGTACCTCCAAATGCCTCGTCTGGGAGGTAAAGCGGCAGCCACTGAGCCCGACGCAGTTGCTCTAAACCGCCTGCAGTCCTCTCTCCTCCCTCCGCACAACAAGGATTCAGTGACTCCGCTGAGGGCGGCTTCGGCCACATCACGGAGCGCACACCCCACTCGCGAGCGGGAGCTTTAGGGGCCAACAGTGAATCTGCCACCTCTGCCCTGCCTCTGCCTAAGGACCAGAGACTCTGAGATGCTGCTACCTTCCAAATCCCAGAAGGGGGAGCACAGGGCCCACAGCAACACCCCACCTGCACACGGACAACAGTTGATGCTTTCGCAGGTGCACATTCGAAACCAGGCAATCAACAAACCATTACAACTTGTTTCATGTGTTGCCCCGAATTCTCTTTATGTCCGAAGCATGTCAATGCTTAGACTTTGTTTTAGAATGTTACATCTGCTCGGAAGGCTGAGGCAGGAGGATCAGTGCAAGCTGAAGACCAGCCTGGGCTACAAAGTGAGCTCAAGGCCAGCCTCAACTGCATAGTGAGACCTGTCTGAAAAAGACAACAAATAAAAAGAAAGAAAGAAAAAGAATGTTACATCTGAAGAAATTAAAACTATGCTATTTTGAGCTAAAGCACTTTAAAAAACGGGGGTGCAAGACTGTCACTGACCGTCACTTCTGACCGTGTTTCTGACAGACAGGAGACAAAATTCCCACGTGCAAGACACAGCAGTAGTGCTCTGCCACCCAGAAAGATAAACCTGAGTCATTTGCAGGAAAATGGATGCACCTCGAGCCCATCAGTGAAATGAATCAGACGTACAAACTTAAAATACTGCGTGGTTTCTTTTGTATGAGAAACCTAAGTTATAAATAAAAGGCAAAATAAAAAACAGGTAACTGGAAACAGGGAGATGGATCCTGCTCCAACAGGAAAGAGACTGAGAGAGAGGGGAAGGGCCGGAAAGGGAACGCAAACAGGAATTAAGACGTAAACATCCCAGTTCCCCAGAATGTAAAGTATTACATACTGCAAACACAGAGCAAGAAAATAGCTATAAAGAAGGCAGGGAAGCGGCATTCTCATCAAGGACAGGAAACTGACACGGAGTTCTTTACAAAGTGTTCCAACATTATTAACTCTTCACAATCCCCCATTTTTGCCCAATTCAGTATCCATAAGCAGACTGACTCGACTTCTGTGGGTCTTCATTTGTCTGCAGGCTCCCGTGCCATGTAAAACTTGTGTTATGTAAGAACTTCTCCAGTTAAACTGTTCTATGTCAACTTAATTTTCAAGCCAAGCCAAAAATAAATCAATAAAAAGGGAAACCATAGAAGGGAAGAGGTGAGGTGTGCCTCCTGCACACCAGTTATACGACCTTGTAAAAACCGTCCTCTCCCGAGTAACCCCATTTATCTAAAGCACGCAAGTTCCAAGGGCACCTATAGCAGCACCATGAGGACTGGCATTTTCAAACAAGCTGCTCAGTTTAGAAGATAATCGGGAATGTGAAGTCTTTAGCTTGTACTATGGAAGGATTCCTCTGTCATTCTGCAATTTCACATCAGTTTCTTCAGTTCTTAGATTCAGAATATTACTTACAATAATTTGACTTCTCCTAGTATATATTAAGTTTGAAAACCTGTGTCAACAATGCTACTTAAAATGATTTAAAGCAACCTAAACTTGCACGAGTCTGGAAAACTCACCTCTCAGTAGGTATGAAAATGCAGTAACTCGGGTTCTGCATGATCTTCCTTTTCAGGACTATCCCGTTATCCAACCAATTTTTAAGTCTTGATGCTCGAACCGAGATAATCTAACAGTACAACACCCAGCCGCTGTTTCCCAATGCTTCTTAAAACATTGCTGGTCTAGGATTTCACTCTAACTAAAGCCATGAAAATACGATATCCTCCATCCTCCTAGTGAATCAGTATCTAAGCCAAGTATACAGCAAAACAAGGGAGCAACTTCTAAAACAGAAACGCGTTTTAAGCTTGGATCGGGTGATGTGAAATACAGGGGACAAAATCTAGAAAACAGCTGGCCACTGCTGCCTTTAGTCTGCAAAGCTATTTTTCAGTGACGCTGCCCCAGTGCCTTTGAGAGTGCCGTCTCCAGGAACACTGCAGCCTTGTCAGCCAGTGCGAGGTGACTTACAGAGGGAGGACGTGCTGGAGGAGCCCCGCAGGAACTGGTGCAAGCCGTCCTCGCCGTCGCTGGAGCTGGCGATGCTGTTCCTCATCTCGAGCATGGAGATCTGTGCGCAGAGACTGAGCTGGTGCTCCAACTTTTTGGCTTTCTATAAGCAAAGTTGTAAGATTTCTGAGATATGAGACATGATTCACATCATCCCTGTAAGTAGCTTGTACCTGAGTGCCTGACACACCTTAAGTACCCAATAAATGTAAGCTGTGATTTTATCAGCTATTCCTATAAACATTATAAAAAATTTAACCTATTCTGTAATCTACTTATTGATCTGAAATAATAAGTACAAACTTAACATGACAGCCAGCCAAGACAAAATGACCTGAGAGTGCCCACATGTACTCAGGGTTTCGGAGACGCACGCATCACAAAAACCATGTTTTACAAGTACATTTGTTTAACTTTTTCCACATAAACAAATGCGGGAAGCTTAGGACAAACTGAAAATTATTGAGTAACTGGGCATCTCTGAAAGCCCGTCCTTTCCTGTAACCCAGAGCAGCTGTACCCAGGAGGATGTGCAGGACCAGAAGAGGCCTAGGCTCCCGGTTACAGCCTCCCGTCCTGTGGCCTCGCTTGGCCCAGCCATCCCCAGTGCACCCTCCGGACTCCCTTTCCATCTTCCCTGGTTGCTTAAAAAACTCTGTGGAAGAGTGAAGAGAAGACCCACAGAATGGGAAAGGATTTTAGCCCTCAGACAAAGGACTTTATCCAGTACAAAGAACTGAAAAACATCAGCCCCCCCAAATTCAAAGACCCAATCCAAACACGGGCATCTGAGATGAACATACACTTCTCAAATGAAGAAATACAAATGGCAAGTAATACATGAAGAAGTGTTCACCATCACTGGTCATTCGAGAAATACAAATTAAAACAGCACTGAGAGTCCATCTCACTCCACAAAGAATGGCTGCCATCAAGAAACCAACAGACACCAAATGCTGGAGAGGCTGTGAGGAAAAAGGAACCTTCTCCACCGTTGGTGGGAGTGCAGACTGTGCAGCCACTGTGGGTATCACTGTGGTGATTCCTCAAAAAGCTATGATTCAGGGTCAGGGATTTAGCTCAGTGGCATAAGTGCCTGCTTGGCAAGCACAGGGTTGTGAGTTCGATCCCTGGTACTAAAACCAAAACCAAAAACAAACAAAAAAACTATGATTTGAAGTCCCATTCCATCCAGCTATTCCCCTTCTGGGTATTTTCCCAGAAAAACTGAAAATGTCATGCCACAGTGATATATGTGCACCTATGTTTACAGCAGTACAATTTGTTAACAGATAAATCTTGGAAACAACCAAAATGCCCATCAACCACAGAATGGATAAAAAAGATGTGGTATTTTACAATGGAATATTACTCAGCTATAAAAAGGATGACCTTGAGGTTTTTGTAGGTAAATGGAGAAGGAAAAGGTTATGCATATGTTAGTAAATGTATATAAATGTATGTATGTGTATGTGCACTAGACAGGTAACTATGCTACCAATCTGTTAGTGCATCAAAAAGACAGTCTGGCTGTCATTGTTTGACTGATCACTTTTGTACTTGGATTTTGTAACCCGAACAACTAGTTCTGAGATAACAATATGTAATATATTAACTGGTGTTGATTCTCTACTTTTTAAAAAAAATTCTGTATGAGTTCTATCCTTTTTTTTTCTGTTTTGCTTTTTAAAATAAAAATTAAAAAAGAAACTCTGCGGAAGAGTTGGTACGAGATGGTACCACTCTTCGTCTCGTGAGTGCTGGCCGCTCACCCAGACTCTTCACTGTTCACGGCAAAGGCAGTCATTGTAAATTACTTACTCTCCAAGACCTCTCCTTTACGACTGTCCCTCTGCACCTAGTGGACGCCTGCTTGATGGAAATCAGTGTGAGTAAGGCAAAGTATACCTCACTGTACATATTTAGTTAACCAAAAAAATGTCAGAAAAGCACTTACTTTATCATTTAAGGTGGGATCGTTCAATGAATACAGCTTATTTGTAATGTCTTTTCCTATGAGATACTTAAATATTTCATACAGGAAAGGCTCTGATTCCAGAAAGTAAGTTAATCTTTCTCTTGACCAGCATAAAAATCTGCAGTTATCATCTGCAATAATGGTGACCTGCCACAGACACAAACATGCAAAGAAAAGAAACAAGTAAGTGAACTACATTAATTAGGGAGAAGGAAAGAGCAGAATAATGTAACAGACATTATCATAGCAAATGACTTGTCAAATTGGTCAAAATTCAATGCAAGCAGACCAGGGATATAGCTCAGCAGTGCAGTGCTGCCTGGCACGTGCGAGGTTGTGAGCTCAATCCCCAGAACCCCCCATAAAATGTCAATGCACGCAAGCTTCTGTAACTATATGTAAAGTTATGTTTAAAGACAACCTGTGGACTGAACACAAAACAGACTGAGTTTTATTGTTTTGTGGGTCTAGAGACAGAAGAATAGCCACAGTGTTGATACCACTGCCGCAGAGACCAGACTGATGTTGCAGTTGTACACGAGTTACGGCTAAGCATTTCTTCGCACCCTGTTGATGACAATGAGGTTTAAGGACCAAACTCCTAGAAAGTAAACTCAAGGGAGATTTGTTAGGCGAACTGCAGGCAAAAGACCTTGTCGCCGACTGCACCAATGCACACTTGAGATTGAGCAGGCCGCTCTCGATGAGCACAGCCTGTCTGTGTGCGGGTCCTTCTGTCGCGTTTCTCAAGTGTGACCTTCCAGAGTGGGTTACGTAGTAGCCTGCTAGGGATCTGCAGAGATCTCTGACTCACAACTGGGAATCTGTAGTCTTCTGAAGCACTGTTACGTAGGAAAGTGGGCGGACACTGTGACCGCACTACCTAGAGCTTGAGTTCTCCTCTTCCAGAGTGAGGCGCCCCGCAAAAACCCCTTCTCCACCCAGGTCCTCATTTGGTCCTTATTATTCCCCCTTACTTCCCTGTGGCACGCATGGGACTGACTCAGCCGCTGACACATCTGTGCGTCCTAAGCACTGTGACGGCAGGAGTCACGTGTCTCCAAGTCTGAATGCCACAACCACACGGCTGCTCACTGAGATGATTATTGTACTAAGGAGCTAACAAGGGAACACAAACACTGCTGAAGGCAAAAGCCACTTTCACATCCTCAGCCTTAAACCCAACGCTTATCCTGTAGAACATTTATAGAGTTTGGTTAAACTGACACGAAGTCTCATCTGAGACTCAGAGCAGATATTTCTAAAAGAGCTCTTTCCCCCACTTGGTTTTCCACAAAATTAAACACATTTCAGATGCCAAAGGAGTATGTAAGTCAACCAAGAAAGAAAACAACAAAAATCAGCTTCTTATATCAACAGGGTGAAATCTGATCATCAGCAAATTAGGCTCGGTCACTCTAAAAAGTAGATCAATATTCCCACAAAAAAGCAAGTGTGCATTCATAGCAGGAATCCCCAAAACCAAACACATTGGGATTTAAGAACTATATTGACCTCCTTGAGACTCCATAAAATACCTAACTTCATTCAGTCTTCCAGTCTGTCATCAGGCACATACTCTGTGCCAGACATCAAAGACCTGAGGCTAAGGTGGTAATCAGTAAAGACAAGCTTCTTATCCCCTAAAGCTCACACTCCCATCGGGGCCTGATAATAAATAAATAAATAAATATAACAACCTCAGGTGACAGAAGTGTTTTGACAGATATAGAAGGAATCATTAAGGGATGACAGTTGTACATACATATATATATCTTTAAAACATTTAAGGAGCTTTTATTTAAACATTTAAGGGACTACGATCTTTTGCAACATGTGAGTGGATCCTTAAAACTGCCTGTACAATAAATAAAATAGAAACATTCCACCTTGTCACATGCATCAAAAACTTGCTGAAGAACACACGTTAATCAGTGGCCCAGTGAGTGCCTCTGACTGCCAGTCCAGACACTTCCCATCAGGTAAAACCCCCTCAGCGCACCCAGTGTCACCAGGGTCACGCAGGCTGACCACCCGATCGCGACAGCCTTCACGGGGACGGCTGAAGTACCACAGTGCGAAGCAAGCGGGTAATAAAGAAATACGGCCAGAAACGATTTATCGAATGAGAAGTATGTGGTCAACTCGGCCGCAGACTTAGTTAAAACAACAGTACGATGTGGGAAGGTAAAATGGAGCACAGCCCAAAACTGTGCTACAGGCCAAATAACAAAAGTAAAACTACAGCAGCCAGCACACAACCACGTGCTAGAGTTAAGTGAAACCGAGGTCTTTTCACTGGACAGATGTCATCTGTAACTCTAGAACACGTAATTCGCTTAGTGGGGTTAGAACTGGAAATCTCTAGCAGACTGAAATGCCCACTCAGGTGATACATGTGACATTTAACTTCTCTTCGAACGTGAATTATCTCATTTCGTCTGGGGTGATCCTTTTACCATGACACTGAAATTCATCTTTCTTGTAGCTGAAAATGTACTTTATACATATTTAAATTATACTGAATATAAATTTAATATTAGCACTCACGTAACAAGTGACACCTACCGAATGGATGAGTTAACTCAGGTCAACCACAGCAGGCAGTTAATTGGAAGCCAGGAGTTAAGTGTGTTGATAGCTAATTTCTTTTAGTAGCTAATGCTTCATTTCTGCCAAGCAGATAGTTTTATTTAATGATTTCCTGTCGCAACAATCAAGTGAAATGTATTTTTAATGAAAAATTTGAGGATGGGTCTCTGGTCTAGTATGAAGGGGAAATTTGATGAGAGAGTTTAAAGCTTCTATAAAATAAACATACTTCTTCAATCATTAGGTCACTCTGACGGTGCCGTGGGGAGACTGCTGATGAGCTAGAATCAGAAACAGCAGTGTGACACAGGAATAGCGGACTGTCCTGGGGGGAAATTTATTATTTTTCCACATATCACACAGCACTTTACATGCCAGTAACACAAAACAGTCCAAAAAGTCTATCTATCTGGCGCTTACCTACTTCTCACGGGCACTACATACAGCACAGTGTAGACAGTTAAAGTGCTTTAAACCTTCACTGAAATACGTACTTCATACTAAGGTAATGTTTCTTTAAGTATCAGGTAGAATACAGTGTTTGTGTATTTCATCAGAGCAAGGATATATGTCTCCTAGACATTCCTCTTTAAGTCAATAAACTTCACAGGAAAAAGAAAAATACAAAACACTATGATCTTTTGTAACAATGACACTCAAGATCCCAACAGTCAGAAGTGGCAGCTGTGGTCTGTGAGTACCAGAAAACTGCAAGCACCTAGGGAGAACTGTAAATTACAGCTTGTTTTTCACTCTATTTCTATGCCTATTACTAACATAATTACTACATCTTTACCTGACTGAGCAGCATTCTAAGCTCCTACGACATATCAAACGACTGAGTGCACTTACCTTTTCTTTCTGATATATTGTATAATACATCAGTACTCTGACCCCAGAAAGAATTTAAAGTAAAAATTCAAAAGACATAGCTGCTTGTCTTCCCTAAGGGAAGATGAGCTTAGGATGGACGAGGCAGATGGGCAGAGAAGTCCTCAGTGATTAGGCACAGGGAGTTAGGACAGTCACCCTGGACGGACAGGACATTTTTTTGCCTGAGAACTTGCTTCAGTAAGAGGCTGTCTTGGTTACATTTTTGTTGTTGTTGTGCCGAGACAAACTACCCGACACCCAAAATTGAGGGAGGCAAGGTTTATTTAGCTCACAGTTTGTGGAGGTTTCAGCCCATAAACTGCTGACTCCGAGGCAGTGTGGCATGTGACAGAGGGGCAGCCCTTCATGGTGGCCAAAGACACAAAAGCAACAAGAGCAAAAATGGTAAAGGGGGAGAGTAAGCCTCCGTTCCACCCGTACACTGTACGCAGGCTTCCCGCCCATCCCAGCACTAGACAATGAACCAATCAGAAACTCTGGACTCAGCTGCCTCTGACAAAGCTCGGCCCCAGGGACCACATGAAGCTTTGGGGGGAATATCCAGACACAAACCGTGTCAGAGGCTATAGGTATGGACTGCTACACAGATGTACAACAGTTATATTTTACTCTTGAGTATCTGCCAACAGGTACATATTGTAATAATCAAAGCAAAACCTCTCTCAAGGTTCACTTGGATGAAGTTAGTGCTGTACAGGAATAGGCTCCACGAGGATACACTGGTCAGTCACAAAAGGCCGCTCCAGGTCTATGCACAGTAGAGACAAGCTGACTGATAATGACAAAAGATGATCCAGACCCTTCATTCATGGATGCCACCTCAATCTTGGTCAGATTTTTGGAATCTTCACATTAATTACTAGCAACAATTCTCAACTACCAAACTCTAATCCCCAGTTTCAAAGGAGAAAAAGATCTGTGTTGATGGCTGGAATTTTTTGTTAACTTAATTATAAATGTAATGCCATTTGAAGTGCTGTGGAAAAGGCAGCACATCTTTGTGTTCCTGGCCTCTCAGGAACCTCTTGCTTCTAGAGACACAGTTTGGCTCGTATTACATCACAAATCTCAGTTCCTTAGGATAGCATGAGACAGTCATCATGTAAAATCTCATGCTACTATACACAGAAAAACAGACACAATGGGTAAATGGTGGGCTTTGGAAAAAGCAACTGTCAGGAGTTGATAGGAAAGAAGAAGAGAAGCAGAAGTGTCCCTGTCCTCCTTTGTGGATGGTAGAGACCAAAGATACAGTGAGAACATAAATCTCACGGCACTGCTGGCTCAGGGACAAGAATGCCGTAAACTGGAGGAGCCAGGACACAGCATTAACTTTGTCTTTCTGTATCTTAAGCAGAGCCAGCATGGAACAGTGTCACACATATCAGTAAAAGTCTAGGAGACCTTCCAGAAAATGCATTTAACTTTAACAAACTGTGTAATTATTTAGGCCAGCTACTCAGACAGGTGAGGCTGAGATCATGTGAATCATCTTTCGCTGGCATCTCAAATTATCTGGCACCCAAAATGAGACTCTAAGAGTGTCAAAACAAGCATGTGCCATCCAGAAACAATGACATTTCTTCCTCCCCGGGGTGGTATCATCCCCTTCAATTCATTTGTCCCTAAACAGATAGACCTTATTGCTCAGGATATTTTCTTAATTACTGTTTATCTAGAGGTTTAAACTGAAGAAAATGCTCATCCATGTTTTTGGTTATTTTTCTATCAATGATAAATAGGAGATCTGGGTGCTCACAGAAAGAATTCGAATGGAGTACCTAATGGAGAAAATAAAAAAAATATAAAAATAACACCAAGTAGCCTACACTCAAACTGCTTCTACTGGGAAGAATTTCATGCTTGGCCATTAAAAGTACTCACTAAGCATAAAAGGGTAAAGTGATTCAATTTTTTCATAATGATTACTAAAGAAATTCTCTACGACAAAGCCAGTATTCCGCTTTTCCCTAAGAAAAGTAATGACATGGTTAGGTACACTGATTAACTACAAAGATATTTTCTTTTTCTCTCATAATAAAATTATTAGATATTTTCTATTAAAAAACATAGTAATTCAAATAAGCAAAAAGAAAGAAAACTTAAAAGCCACGTAAAGTCATACCCAAAATAATGTTAACAATCTTGGCTATAATAAAATGTATCTTTAAGTCTAAAAAGTCCCCCCAAATTCTTATGTGTGCAGAAGATGGTTCATACAGGTTTTGGTCTTGCAGAATTAAGGTCACTGTAATAACTGAACCTAACCGTGTGATCTAGAAGCCTTAAAGCTGGTTCACAGGAGGAGTCTGGAAAAATAAGGAGATGCTGGCTAGAGAACTCTACACTCCTATAAATGGAGCTTGATGGGAGAGTTTGGCTGTGCTCAGAACACCAGAATGCTGAAAGAAATTCGGACAGTGAAGGCCAGGCTCAGGAGGTGTCAGCTGGGAACAAGGAGCCCACTGACAGTTGTAGAGGTCATACATATTGCACTCTGGCAGGAAATCCATCTGCATTCTGCCTGCATCCTGAGACTTGATGAGAAACTAAAAGACTGGAGGTCACTAATCTGGTGGGGAAATTTAAAAGTAGCTTGGTGTTCAGGCTGGCATGGGTACTGCTGACTGCTTTCAGCCAGATCCCCATGGAGAATCAGAAGCAAATGGCAGAGCTGAATGATCTGAATACTCACTACTGTCCCCAGAAAGAAAGCACATGCAAAGTGGGAGCAAAGGAAAGCCTGACTGCGGAAAAGATCAACATATAAAGAAAGGTAGCCTGGCTGACGTGTGGCACATGCCTGAATTCCAGAGGCTGAGGTAGGAGGATTGCACATTACAGAGAGTCTGAGCCCAGCCTGGGCCTCAGAATGAGTTCAAGGCAGACTGAACTGCACAGTGAAATCCTGTCAAGGAAAAAAAAAAGGCCAAATTCTTTGCACCAGGGCCACACGAAAGATGGTTTGAAGCCACCTCTGGAATCAGCAAAACCCCACCCACTGCAAGCACAGTGATAAAAAACTATAATGCTTTCATTTGAGAAGAGACCTCTTGGGCTTCCTGTTAAAGAGAGTCAACTAGGAAACTGGTTCACCCAGATTAATTTCACAGTGCTTGGTACTCAGAGGCCACTGCAGTCATGATCTAAGGGGGCCTGGCTTCTGCTCTCACCGGCAGCAGACTTTGGCATTATCCGCACGATACTGGTTTTATAGGCATCATCAATACGAGAGGTCAGAAGAGATCATGGAAGCTTACACCGTATTTCAGAGGAAGGCCTGGGAGGCCAGGCAGTGTGACCATGAGAGAGCAGTACTTTGAGCTGTGAGAATGAAGCCAGAAGTGTGGTGGAGACTTTGAAATGCTAGGAATGTGGATCATCTCCTAGGAAAATAACCGGCAGTGAGCAGAGCCACACCAGAAAGAGACTACATGTGCTGGAGCGAACACTGGCTGGTGGTGGTCTGCCCGAGCCCTCTGGAGTTCACATCTCACCACGTCTTGCCCTGGATACTGGACATGGAACTGTGTAATTTAATATTTTTCCTGCTGAATTCTGGTCTTTCTCTGATCCCATTCCTTTCTATCCCCCTATTTCCATCTTTTGGAATGTAACTGTTTACCCTGCAGCACATGTTGGAAGTATTTAACTTTCTCTTGGATTTTTTTTTTTTTTTTTTTTGTCTTTTTCCTTTTTATCGGTACCAGGGATTGAACTCACGACCGCCTGCTTGCAAGGCAGGTGCTTATGCCGCTGAGCTAAATCCCCAGCCCCTTTCTCTTGGATTTTTAATAGGGGCTCACAGCTAAGAATTTGGATTGGGTCTCAGAGGAGACTTTGGATTTGGATTTTTCATCAATATGAGGACTCTTACAACTTTAGTGACTCTTAATGATTGAGTAAAAGCATTTTCACATAATGAGTTGTGCATGAATCTTCTGGGAATGAGGGGTGAATGTTATGGTTTGGATTTAAAATGTCCCCCCAAATTCTCATGTGTGTGGAAGGGGGTAGTGTAGTATACTTACTGGTGGATTCATCCACTTACGAATTCAACAGCTGGCTGTGCTCCTAGGGGAGGGTCTGGGTGGAGGCCCGGCCCTGAGGACAGGACCAAGGAAAGTGCATGCTTATCCTCAGCTCCTTCCTTCTCTCCCTGTTCCCTGGCGATCGTAGGGTGAACGGTATTCCCTTCCACCACGCCATTCCTGCCTTGGAGTCAGCTGACCGCGGACTGAACTACGAACCCAGATAAACCTGTCCTCCTTTAAGGTGTGAGGGTTGGTGCTTTGCCACAGTCATGGGAAGGTGACTAATGTAGATTTTAAGTTTTTAAAATGAGATAGCACTATATATGCCGTACGGTAATCTCGTTTTTCAGTTAATCACAGCTACATTCTATTGATAACCACTGGATTTCGAGTAAGGTATGAACTAGTTTCTATCTTCTTTAAAATCATACCATAACGTACCTGGAATTTTTCACCTTTGTGCATCTCAGTTGATCTAAATTCAGGAGAATCTATAAAGGCACAGGGGTAAATATTATGCAGAAAATGTCCTCTATAGGAGACCTTCATTCTGATAACAGAAAACAATGTTAAGAAACATGTAGTTCACAAATAACACGACAATCTTTAAAACCACCATAATCTTATGGGGTTATATTTTGTAATTCAATTTTAAGATTCCACAGATGACCGTTAAAAACACTTCCTGAAATACTATATTTTCAAAAAACAACAAAAGGAAAACAAAACCAGCTATTAAACCAGTAATGTGTCTTCTAATGATTATCATTGCTCTAATACTCAGAGTGACTACGTAATTTGTTACTAGGAGTTTTGAGAAGGAAAGGGAGGTTATTAATAGTTATGCCCACACAATGGTACCCACTGGCTCTCTCCTAGAAGGACGGTATTCCCAGGAGTTGTATTTTTATGATATTCAAAAAATACGCAAATCACCTCTAATATACACATAACCTTATTGAATTTGAAATGCCAGCAAATTTTGACTTAACTTTAAAAAGCTAAAAATGATTAAAAATAGTCACAATTGAATTTTTTTTTTTTTTTTTTGGTACTAGGGATCAAACTCATGACCTCACTCCTAGCAGGCAGGTGCTTATCCTGCTAAGCTAAATCCCAGCCCAACAAACTGAAGATTTTGACAGCAACTATTTAAGCCCAAATATTGTGTACAGTCATCCAAGTATTGAAATTCTTTGTCTAGTTTTCCTCACAATCCAAAAAGTTGAATTTGTAATCCCATTGAGACGTTACTGGAATCCCAGCAAGTTAATTTTAATCTATCACCTCCATAGTGAGAGTAAAGACACCAAGACACATTCCAGCTGATGGGCAGCTGAAGGGTCCTGAGCCCAATCCCCGGGAGGACATGGACATGCGGACCAAGGCCTCGATCCCAGGCCTCTCCCAGCATCTGTTATCTTGTGAAGAAGGGGGTGGGGAGGGTGGCTCAGGGATGAGTGACAGTGAGGATGGCGGGAACTGTGTGAGGAACTTGAGCTGGCTGGCCAGGTGGGGAGAAAAGCATCTCTGCACAATGCAGAGATAAGGATATGCAGAAGGACAAATTTGCATAATTTAATTAAGGTAGCAACTGACTTGTTTTAGGAGGCTGCTGCTTTGGTTTCTGGTATGTAAACTTTTGTGCCCTGGAGAGTCAAAGCCTCTTTACCTTGAGGCTCATACCCAATTGACATTCCCGGAGCTGTTGGCTCTAACATCCTGCTGTGCTCCTGTCTTTTACAGACAGCACTAAGCTAGGAAACAGGAGGCTTTAGAGATTACATACCAGTACGTGGCTGGCCTTATCTGTAATGCTTAGAGCCAGTTAAAGCAAGAAGAAATACCATAGCCAGCTCTCTACATATCAGTATAAGGAAGTAAGTCTCCATATAAAGTTGCAACAATTGTTTTACATCCAAAGGTTGTCACTAGAATTGTCTCCCACAAGCAACAAAATTCAAAGCAGTCAAGTCTTGCTAGCTTGACACACCGCCCCGCAGCATTACAGTTTAACCGTAGAGTGAAATTTCATCACCACCACACTCAACTACTTGATTCATTAGCTGACAACATCTCCTTCTTATTTCTTTCCAGTGGTCACGAAAAGACAGAAGGTGAGCTAGGAACTCCTATTCCATACCTTCCCTTCAGGAGAATACTCAGACGGTCATCGACTGAGGTTTTATCCTCTGCAGCATACGTCTGGCCCTTCTTCAAGGTCTGGATCATGCAAAACTGTCCCGTTAATCTTCTGAACAAATCTGGAGGCACGCGGAGTGGCTCAAACAACCGCCGGTACATGCCACTGAGCTCCCTCTCGATCTTCACCTGAAATGCAGCAAGGGCGACAAGCCCCCCTCAGCAGCAGCCCCACAGCACACTTCTGTGGTCCCAGTACGGTTTTGAGAATAGACAAATCACCTTTTTTTTTTCGATAGTGGGAGTGGAACTCACTTGCCAGATTGGCCCTGTGCCGCCCATCTATCCCTGGACCAAGTCACCCTTCTACTGAATATACCATCACAATGGAGTCTTACTCAGAGAGTAAGCAGTGATGTAAGTTTCTACTTCATTTGCTAAGAAGGCACTTTTTTTTTGCAGTTAAAATCAACTCTAACAGCATAAGAGAAGACTGGCCCTATCCATCACAATTACATTAACTTTTATACGTTATAGTAAGAAAAAAACACACAAAATAGAAATGTGAAAATGAATTTACCAAACCAATATGGTATTTACATTCAATGTTTTATCTCTGTGTAATTATGTACTATGGAAGAAAACAAACCCCACAGCCGCAGTCACTGCTTTGTATTTCTGCATGCCACACAAAGGAAAAGACACACTTTCATCCTAAGCTAAAATAAGCCCCGCAGAATAGAGAATCCGCCGGGTGAGTAAGGTTGGCGACTGGAGGAGGAGGAGGAGGAGGAGGAGGAAGGAAATGGCTTTACCACCTCTGGGGTGAGATTCTCAGGCCACGGTCAGGCCCAGGTGGAATCAAGGACTGTCTCCGAAAGGACCACTAATTGGGTGACAGAGAACAGCGCTGCACCCGGGTGAACTCTGCCCAGTGAAAGCTCTGGCAGACACGCGACAAAGCCCACAGGCCCAGGTCGCAGAGCCGCTGCACCGTGACGTCACCCCGGCATCTGCAGTGGCCCTGCTTATCCTGCTCTTCATGCTGATGAGCAACCAGCACTGTATTTTTCAAACAACGGTTTGATGGCCTGAGAATAAACAAAGGTACAGAGACTGAGTTCTATTTGGTGCTTTAACCACATCAGCAATTTATGAACCCTGTCTTTGAGGGTCCCAGAAAGTTCTGCTATTTGGGAACTGTCATTGTCATTATGACACTCAGCCATCTCTCCCACTGCACGCCTCTAGTAATGAGCTTAGCAAACAGTTTATTCACAGATACGGCCCCTTCCGGCAGGCACCCCGTCCCCGGTGGCACGTGTGAAGCGGCTAATACTCGAGGGATGTGTGTTCATATTCTACCCTCCCTGGCTCAGCTTGAGACCTAATTTCTCCTCAGAGTCCTCTTGGTTTTTCTGTCTGACAGTACCTGCCCATCAAAAGTTTTTATGACCACCTACTGTGTGCCAGTTACGGCTGAGAACAGGGACTGTCCCATAAGTGTGCTAATTACATATTGTTCTCGTGTGCTCCTCTCTCAGGCTCTGTACGAGGCTTACGCATCCCATTACGAAACCTCACTCTCCCCATTAGCAGCTTGGCCGAGGCACTTGCCTTGGCCAATGAAATATGAGCAAAAGTGCCTTATGTGCTGAGTGACACTGCAGGGTACACTGGGTGTTTCTCTTTTGTTCTCTTGTGCTTTCTCCTCGGCTGTGAAAATGCACAGTCCCAGCAGAGCCTGCCCCTTCAGCAGAGACCCTGAAACAGATGTGATAATGGAGTATAATTACAGCTGACATACGGTCACCAGAGCCAACATAGAAGGTGGGTGAGGAAAAGGTCCACTGCTGCTATGGGTCACTGAGATGATCAGGTTGTCATCCACCATAGCCTAGAGAAAACTGACCAATACAATGAAACAACACAGACTGACTGGCTGTGTCTGAGGAGACCACAGTCTAGTGGAATGCCTACTGCATAAATGATCCATATCATTCACAGCGGGACCCTGCTCACTGTCTGTTTTCTAATAATCTTCTGCCTGCAGATCTAGCCTTGAACATCAGATTAGGAAAACACTGCATCTTTTACTTTAGTCAGTGTCTGTGTGTGCTTAGGGCACTCGGTAAATACGCAGGTGTGATTTCTAGAAGGCAGGCTGTTTTCCCCAGTCTCCGTTTGTTTTTGGTATCATGAATAAAACCCAACAAGATAAATCAAGAGTTGAAAGTAAAAAAGTTAAGCACTGGTGTTTGTTAACTACCGATCAAAAATGGTGATTTGTTAAGTGAATATTTTGGGCGTAAGAAAAAATATATAGTAATTACACTAAAAAAGAGCATGAAGCTGGAGAGTTAGCTCAACAGCATAAGCACCTGCCTGTGAGTTCAATCCCCAGGACCCCCCCCCCCAAAAAAAAGAATGAACTATTTGAAAATCATTAGGAAGTTCATGGAAGTTGCCTATTGTAAATTTTATAATTGAATATCAGCAGACAAAGGAAATAATGAATGACTTTTAAAAGTATTATTCATGTTCTTTCAAGCCTAATGATTTAAAAAGGTCTAAAAACTCATTTGTAGACAAAATCTCACCGTTCTCAAATATTATATTTCCAGGCATTTATAAATGGAAAGTCCAATCTTCAGAGAAAAGATATTGAAAGTCTGAACAAAATGCTTTTAAAGCTTTTATCTTAAAGTCATTTCCTTATTAAATAATTTTAGTCATTACCGGTCTCTTCTTGTACAAAAGATACGAAAGATGCAAAACGTTGACACCCAGGAACACAGAATTCCAAATCATTATATCCAAGGCACATCGGTAGAGAGTGGCCCATACAATATAGAGGGTACACCCTGTTGGATAACAGAGTTAACATGTCAGATATACAGAACTTCAGCAGATAGCTTAATACATTTCTCATCCTCTGTATATAAGTCATATATATTTTACAAATATGTAAGCCAGATATCACAGTTTCATTCTTTTAACTTTAGAAAAAAAACACATTCCTTGCTGCAGAAAATTTGTATAATATAGAATATTTTTGTCTTGTTTTTAATGCAGTGCTGGAGAGTGAACCCAGGGCCTACCACGTGCTATAGGCAAGCAGTCTCCCACTGATCTGTACTCGTAGCCAAAAGAAAGTATGTTTTCGGGGAGGAAAAAAATCTACAATTCTACAATTTAAAGAAAACCCCATAATGCTATGTTATAGTTATGTAGTTTTACCAAATAGAAAACTATTGTATATATCATTTCAAAAGTTTTTTTATTTCACTAAAATTCTTTGTTAGTTTTAAGTGACTATAACTAATTAAATCATAATATTTCTCTCTCTCCCTATTGGACACAGATGATATTTTGGGGCATAAATTTTTGGTGAGTGAGAAAAACAAGCTTACACATAAAAGCATCTGTATTTGTGACTGTTTGCATAGTCTAGCTTGCCTGCAGGTAAACTCTATAGCTTTGCATGATACAAAGAATTATTTGTAGGAATTTATAAACCTACTATTTTGGAATGCCAGTATCTGGCTGTCACAATAAAACTTGAAAGCTTTTCATTTGATATTAAAGTTATATTTATTTTGTATTTTCATTAGTATTATGATGAGTTCAAATGTTATACCAAAATTTTTTAACCACCTGAATTTTCAGTTAGTGATATCCATTATAGGAATTGTCCTGTTTCTTCTCTGACTTTATAGATAATATCAGTTTCTTTTGATCAATTTTATGGTAGGCCAGTTAGTGTATTTTTAAGATGAAATTATCAACTAAGATACACATAAATCAATTGACATGAACACAAAAGCTAACCCGCCATTAAAAAGTTACTCATCAGCAACTTCTCACCTCCTCAGAAGGATTTGGGTGGGTTTTTTTTTTGCATTTTTACTGGTACCAGGGATGGAACTCACAACCACAGGCTTGCAAGGCAGGCGCTTATGCCGCTGAGCTAAATCCCCAGCCCCAATGTGGGTGTTTCTAAATAAGGCTCCTCACTTTACCTGGCTTCATTTTCTCATTTATAGACTAAAATACTGGACTACATAATCTCTTTGGTCCATTTTATCTCCAAAACGGTCTTAAAATTCAGATTTGGACTTTTTAAAGGCTTCCATTGTACTTCACTTCTTCAACATACCATACTTTAATGGAGTTGGGGCTTTTAGTTGGCATCAATTATGACTGGGCTTTGAGATAATTCGGTAGCATTACATCAGTGGCACGGTGACTGACCTCTCCCTTCCTTTGGGGTGCCTCAATCTGTGTTGCTATTTACAGGACGCCTGTGCTGCGATCCTGACTGTGGCTCCACCAACTAATGCAGCACCGCCAGATGTGGCGTGGAACTTGGGTGCCTGTTTCCAGTGGCTCTGCCTTGCCGCCATTTGTTGAATGCTTCTAACTGGAAGGAAACAGTGCATTTTTGGCCAAGGTAAACATCACAGAGCTAAAGATGGAACTGCGGTTACTGCAGCTGCTGGCTTGATGCAAATCACCTCCAGGTACCCCGCCTGGACTTCCGTCTAAGAGGTGGCCTGTTTCTCTTTCTGTATAATGTGCTACTTTCCTGCCGCAATGCCCACCTAACTCTGGGGTAACACGGCCACAGAAGTCTCACAAATTGCCCTTCAGGAGCATTCCAGTCTCCCGCATTCCTCACATATGAGCTACCCTTCCTTCACCTCAATGTACTGCTAAGTTTCCCTTTTCTCCGCCCTTCGCCAAAGCAATCCCGCTCAGTTCCAAAGCTGGCCGTGGGGTTTGTCCTCGGTGGGCCTCCATTATTTTCCTGCTGAGCCTGTCACCTTCTCCTGCCCCCAGTTTGGATGCACACCTGTGTCACAACATCCAACTCTGCACAGTGTGACCGCCCATCTGTCTCCAGGTATGCAGACAACTTCTTCTGTGTTTGATACACTACAGGTGCTCAAAAGTGCAGCTCAATAAGTGGATTACCGGGGAAATAAATAGAAAGAGTGAGCTGTCAAGAATCACTGGCTAGAGGCTAGGGATTTAGCTCAGCGGCATAAGCACCTGCCTTGCAAACGGGTGGTTGTGAGTTCAATCCCCGGTACTGATAATTTAAAAAAAAAAAAATCATTGGCTAACATAACCTACTCAATTGTTTTAATATTTTGACGTGAATCAATTTAACTTACTTCAAAATTACAAAAAACAAAAAATTATTTTCTTTGATTGTGTATGGGAAATTATTTTGTGTTAATGTAGGCTTATTGGTCATAGCAATTGAGTATCTTCAAATAATAATAGTTTGAGACTATATAGTACCCACTATGAGATAGCATATAGTCATTTGAGCCTCACAACCCTATGAGGTGGCTTTATTCTTACTCCAAAGGACACATGAGAAAACTGAGGTGGTAACAAGATTAAAGTACCGGTCCAAACTACAGAGTTCGGACATGGCAGAACCAGCTCTCACATCCTACAATCTGGCTTTAAAGTCACACAATGAATACATGAAGGCTTCAGTTACACTTTTCCAATATCTGGAAAGCTAAGCAATACATGAAAGCAGGCATAGTTTTTCTCAAAACTAAGTAAAGGATTGATATATTATGCAAAGGTGTTGTTTTAAAATACTTGACATGCTGCCAGTTCAATAACAAAGACCTGACACAGATCACTACAGACCTAGCAAAGATCACTCTGAAGTCCCCAACACCACGGCCATCTGTTTCTGACAAAGTTCTACCCACTCTCGGGTATCTTACCTAGAGTCAACATCGCTCTAAGAAGTATCATATGAAGGTGAAGAGTAGTTGGAATAACCAAACCAACTGCAAAACAAATATTTGCTACATGAAAAACTAGATGATGTATCTCTCGCCAGTTTTCACAAGAGGTCCCATTGGAAGGCACAGGTACAACACTTCCTGACTCGGGTGTAAAACCTATCGTTGATTCTGCCCATGAGCTGGTCTCCGTATAGTTCATGCTGAAAGTTTCTGTAAAACAAATAAAATCATAAACAGGTATTTTATCACCCCTATTACTGGTGTTATAAGAAAATGACTTTTGAATGGAATGCTGGAAAACAGACTTCTCCGGTGCTCATGAATTAGGAAATACATGTGACATTTTCTTATCTATTAAAACATAATACCTTATCTGCCCTATGATGAAATGAAATGAAATCTATAAAATATTTCACAGAGTACATAACTATTCCCTGGCATACAAGTATACATACATATATACATATAGATACACATACATATATGGTACATAATCATATTTCATCAGATGGGCAGAGAAGAATTAACCTAAAAGACAACCATCAATGTTCATAAACAACAACAATTACAAAGTTTTTTTAGTGTGATCTTCCATTATATTCTCATTAGTGAACCTATATTCAAGAATAGGGAAAATAAACTGTTTTTTAATTCTTTCAAAACATTAATAGCCTTCTATGTGATGGCTTTTCTATTAAACCACAATTTAAATCATTGTATTACGCATATATTGTAGATATACATAACACATGTATATCTACAATATGTAGGTGTATTAAAACCACACAAATTAGTTCAATTTCAGGCTTTTGGAAGTTCTTAGAGTACCAATTTATGAACTTTAGTTCACTAAAAGTATTAATTAGACATTCATATACATAAAAATATAACATTTAAAGTTTTTTGTCCAACTTGAATCTTTACTTTTCCCCCATAATAATTCTAGTTGATAGTATTTTACAAATTAAAAAAGTAGTAAACTCCCAGTTTGTTTATATATAGGAAGGTTCATAAATATAATTTTCTTTATCTTTTTGAGGCAGAGTTTTGCTGTACAGTTCAGGCTGACCTTGACCTCACTTTGTACCGCACACTGGCCTGGAACTCACATGTTCTCCTGCCTCAGTCTACCAAGTGCTGGGATTACAGGCATGTGCCACCATGCCCAGCCTAGTTTACTTAATGTTAAGATCCACAGAAAACACATTGCAACTAATGTACATTTTACACGTGTTATATAAAATTTAAAGCAGTACTCTACTCTGACTACATCATCTGTCCATGGTGTCAGTCCTTAATTCTATTACCAATTTTTTATAGTCCTTGACAAAAACTATGTACGTTTATTCAATATGTGAATTTTCCTGTTGTACTATGAGTTCCAGATACAGACCCAAAATACCTTTAAATTTAATTAAGAAATATATACTTCTTTCAAAATAAGGTCCCAATTAACCTTACTACTCTATCTGTGTTTTCAACATATTAAATGTAGCTCAGTGGCACCTGCCTGGCAAGTGTGAGGTCCTGAGTTTGATTCCTGGTACCTCCCCCAAAAAAGACTGTATGTGGTAGAATAATCGGCTAGGGAATTCATTTTAAAAGGACGTTAACAGACAAATGTGAAAGAATCCCACATCTCCTAAATTGACAAAAAATAACCCGTATACATAGTGTGGAGGAAATGATAAAGGCAACTAGCTGGAAAACAGCTCACAGCTGACTTGAATATGCACTTGACACAAAAAGAAAAGATTAAAAATTCAACTACTTTCCAAATGTCTGAATCAATAAAAATACACGCCTATTTGGACAGGGGGAACCATTACTTTAGTAACTCAATGCAATAATTATACCAAGTTTGCTGGGGAGAAATCAGGTATCATAATAATAAATCATAATTTCGGCAGGAAGAAAGCGCTGTTAAACGTCCTCAATCACTCCTAGGTTAAGGTCAACTCCTCTCACGTTATGTAAGTCAGTAACTACGGTTTCGACAGCACTGCATTCCTATGGTCCTTTTTGTTCTAACTATCCTATGTTCTTATAAGGCACAGGCAGTGTTTATTTACACACTGCATTACTTCTAAGGCTTCTATCGAGACAGCCACTGATGCAGGGGGAAGCCATCGGAAAGGGACATAAACAAGAGGAACACGTTTAGAAAGCACCGTTCGGTGTTAAGACAGAAGAGCGCCTAGGCTTTCTGAGGTTGAGAGTCAGCGTCTAAGCCACCAGGGAGCCACATAAGCCAGGGAAAGCCACGGTTGTTCCTCACTCTATTTCTGCCTTGGAATAGAGGCAGCTGGACTACTTGGTCTTTAAAACTCCAAGTGTAAATGGTCTATGGCTCTCACACGGATTTATATAGCAAACTAATTACTTCATAAACACTTGAAAACTCCTGGATTGCCTCCTCCTCTACTGTAGTTCAATTTCAGGCTTTTGGAAGTTCTTAGAGTACCAATTTATGAACTTTAGTTCACTAAAAGTATTACTTTCTGGTCTAAGAAAATGGGTAAGGAAAACTATAATCCACTGATCCAAGAATCACAAAACAGTAATAGCAATTTTTAAAAGACAGGCTCATCCTGAAACATATTTTGATGCACTATACCTTATTAAAGATACACAGATATAGTTATAGATATATAGCTGCCACTTACCTGTCGTCATGAAACATTGATCAGATCGTTCTGGCTTCATCTTACTTCAATTACGGCTTAATGGATTTAAATGGCTTATACTGAACAGCCTTGATCCAGAGAACGAATGAGTTTAACAAGGTACAGACTGGACCGGTAAGCTGGTAAACTTTCAGATCAATCTTGCTAAATCAAGAGAAATTATTTTTCTCTCCGATCCTCAAAGTCTAATTCCATAAACTGCTTGTTCTAGTAAAATCCCAAAATATCCACCAGTTTTCAAATAGGTGTTTGCAAGACTACTCTAAACAATGAAGCTAACATGTTATCTTTACCAAGCTACAAAAATGACGATAAACAGCAAAGAACCCAAGCCCGGTTAGTAGCCCTAATTCATTTTGTGATTCTGCACATCTTCGGAGTGGCAAGCGGCACTATTTCGGGAGCAGGCTTTGTGCACTTACTGCTGCCTCGAGGCAGGCAGTTTCCGGGACTGGTCTGGCCGACAACCCGTTTCCAACCTCTCGGGAACGGGGGCGCGCTCCCCCGCGTCTTACCTAAGTCGCCGTCCGGCGTCCCCGAAGCCCAGCGCGCTCCGGTCGCGGGGGGCGCGAGGCCGCGTGCGCCAAGAGAAGCCGGGGACCGCGTCGGACGAGACCCCGGCCGAGCTCGCCGAGGCCGCGGCGCCCTGGATCGGAGCAGCGGCAGCCGCCACCTGCGCGGCCGGGGTCGCGGCGCCCGGGGCGGTGAAGGGCGGCCGCCAAGGGCGCGGGGCGCGCGCGGGGCGCCTAAAGTTGCTCGGGCTCGCAGAGGCGGGACACAACTTTCGCTTCGCGGTCGCGGCTAGGGGGCGCGGGGCTGGCGGCGACGGGCAGGGCGCCCCCTGTGCTTACCTGGCCCGTCCGGGCGCCGATCTGGCCGGCGCCGGACGGAGTTCGGGGCGCAGGGGACGCGATGCAGCGGCCCGACGGGCGCCCGGCGCGCAGCCTCGGCAGGTCGGCGGGCCCGGGGCGGTGAGGCCGGGCAGGTCCCGGCGTCCGCGGAGCTTTGACTAAAATAGGCATCGCGGCGGCCGCCGGGCTGGGCCGCAGCGCGCACGCGCCAGCGCCGGGCGCCCCCGGCGGGCGGAGCCCCGAGTCGGCCCGCGCCCCGCGCCCCGCAGCCGGCACGCAGCGGCCGCCGCGGGAAGCCCCCGCCCGCTCTCCTCGCCTCCTTCGGGCTTCTGAACCCCGCCTCGCCTGGGCGCGGGGCCCGGACGGCCTCGCGGGCCCGCGGCGGGGTCGCCCGTCCCCACGGGAGGAACAGAGACAGGAGGAAAAGCCGAGCTCTGACCGCAGGCCCGGAGCTGCCGGCCCGCGCAAGCCAGCGCCCGCTCCGCCGGGGCGCCCCTGCAGCTCCGCGCTCGCCCGCCGGCTCGGCCCCGCCTGGGGCGCAGGCTGCGCGGGAGGCCGGGCGCGCGCCGCCGCCGTCGGGGACCGCGAGCGCCTGCCCTGCTGCCGCGAGAGCCGCGCGAGGCGGACTTTCGTGCCCGCGCCGGTTTGTGTTCGGAGAAAGGTGCTTAGTCAAAGGTTGCTCCCCCGGGGCCGCAAGGCCTTTATGTGGGGCGAGGATTCGGTGAGTTTGGGATCCGTGATGGGGAAGGAAGATTCCAAACGCCTATTGTTTACTTTTCTGGGCAACAACTTGGGGTGAGAAATGGAGGGAAAGTGACAGCCATGAAAAAGTAGTGTTGATGGCGTGGGTGTGGCACCAAGAGGGGGCTAAGTGGGAATCCTGAGTCCATCTGAAGTGTCCATTGGGTAAAAGAATGTGCACCTATTACTGGACTAGGGCGGCATTCGAGCGCCCCGAACATGACCAGATTAAGAAGAGGCCGTGTGAAGGGTGCTTTGTAAAGTTAGTCCTGGAAGTGCGCACTGGCCGAGTCTCCAGTGCAGAGGCGCAGCAGCCCCTCCTAGTGTTCCACAATTTGGCCTGGGGCTCCACACAGAAAAAACCCGATTTGAAATCCCCGTCTCGGCTGCCAGACTACTGTGTGCCATAGTTTGGATCTAGAAAGTCCCACAAAAGCCTCAGACGTGAGACGTGGTACAAGGAACTTAGGTCACTGGAGATGTGCCTTTGAAGGGGATGTGTTGTTTGGCTTCAGGGCTGCAAGGAGGTGAGCAGCTTCCTCCTCAAGCCCCCAGCAGGATGCATGGTGCTGGACTGAAACTCTGCACCAGATGAACCTTTTCATCCTTTAAATTGATTATCCTCGGTATTTTATTACAACGATGGAAAGCTAGCACACTATGCAGCCTTAGGGAAGTTATGTGGCCCATCCGTGCCTCTCGGTTTCCTCTTTGTAACATGGATAATGAGGATGTGGAGTAAATGGTGGTGGTGGTGGTGGTGGTGTGTGTGTGGCTTAAACCGTTGTTGGGATGTAAGTTCTATGTATATGGTGTATATTATGTTTATAAATCTCTAACTTGTCTGAAATATATGGTGATTATACAAGATTAACGTTCAAGCCTACTTCAGAGCCTGTTTCTTTCTAGCCACGCTGTTGCCCATTTTGGTGGTTGTCACTAAATATATCTAAGGTGTGGTGTGGTAAAAGCTCTGCCTGGAGCTTTCACGGTGTGGACAGTTACTGGCTTACAGTCATGAACACTGGAAATAACCTAAATTCCAGCCATTGGGGATTCCATAAATTATAGAACAACCAAACGATCATATTCTAAGTAGCCATTAAAATATTATAGGAAGATATATTATAAGCATAATAATATCTACTAGCTATATAAAGTAACAGTCAGCAAAGGGTAGCCCAGAGGCCCAGCCCACAGCCTGTTCTTGGACAACTCATGAGATCAGAAGGCTCTTATATTCTTTAATGGTTACAGAACTCAGATGTTTACTGATATTGAAAATTATATGCAATGCAAAGTCAGTGTCTAACGTTTTATTGGAGCCCAGCTATGCTCATTTTATGTGGTTCTTTTGTATTGCAAAGGCAGCGTTGAAAGATGCAATGGAAAAACCAGACGGCCTAATATCTGGGATCCGGCTGTAAAGATGTGTGCGGTAGGTAAAGGAAGCAGGGGCTGCCGGTGTAACTCGGTGGTAGAGCACTTGGCTACCATGTGCAAAGCCCTGGGTTTGCTTCCCTACAGCACACACACACACACACACACACACACACACACACACACAAATTAAATACTGTAAAGATATGAAACCGTTTAATACTTACGTGGGGGGCTACAAAGAAGTCATAATCTTTGTAGATGAGAAGTGGAGATGACAGACCGAATAATCTGTCCAGCTAGTGAGGGGCTGAGGCGGGAGGTGCAACCCGGCAGCTTGGTTCCCAAACTGCTGTAGTACACCAGCCTGTTTCTGCCGCCTTGTACTTTGGTGCCACTGCAAAGACAGTAACTAGAAAGTGGCAAAGGACACTGCGGATGTGGGCATAGCCCAGAGTGCTAAAGTTGCGCTTATTTTCTTTTCTCCTCCCTCTCCCTTTTCTCCTCTTCTTTCCTCTTTTCCTCCTCTTCCAACTCCTTCTACTTCTACATTTCCACAATGTTGGCACATTACCTTTGTAGTGTCTATTAGAGTGGTGCTCACATAACATCTTTTGCAGGCCCACTGGAGCCAGGCTCCAGAGGTCCGGTTACGGAGTCACCTTTACAGGCCACAGTCACTCCCACTCGTCAGGATAGGATAGCTGTAAGGCGTCTAGGTCATGTAGACATCACACACATTTATGAAAAGATCACTGGGTTAGATCACTGGCCTAGATGAGTTCTAGGCTTCTTCAGAGTCTCGTTTTGTGAGTCTGTGATTTATACAAAGAGGAAGTTGAACCCCCCCCCCTTCCAAGTACTAACCAGGCCCGACCCTGCTTAGCTTCGGAGATCAGACGAGATGGGTCGTGAGTTCGATCCCTGGTACCGATAAAAACGAAAAAAACAAAAAACAAAAAACAAAACCCCCAAACCTTCACTCTCTCACTGCAACCCATGCCTGCTAGTTTGGATTGCGATGTTTCCCAAAGGTCCGTGTGTTAAAGGCTCGGTCCTCAGCTCCTGCGCTGTTGGGAGGTGGTGGACCTTCAAAAGATGGCACCCGTTGGAGGAATTTAGGTCATTGGTGAGAACCTATGAAGGGGACATTAAGGCCCTGGCGCTCTCCTGTCTTCCTTCCCAGCAGCTGGGAGAGGAGCAGCTGCTTTTACCTGGAATTCCTGCCATGATGTGCTGACTCACCCTGGGCCCAAAACCTACTAGACCGACCACGGTTGAAACCTCTAACCTCTGACCCCAAATCAACCTTTTATTAAGTTGACTTACCTCTCATAATTTTTAAAGTAACAGCTCACTAGCACACTATTTTTGAATGCAAACCATAATTTATAAAGAGCATTTTACTCTATTCTAATTTCTTATCAACGTACATGAATTCCAATTCTATAAAATTCAACATAAAAGTTACAGACCTGAACTTTTAGTCTTGGGCTTGGGGGTATTTTTGGCTCCCTGCTCTCTTCTGGCCGCTGCGGCTGCCCGTGGAAGGTCAGGTTGAAAGACCCCCAGTACTATGTGAGAATTAATGTGAAGCAAAGAGTTGTCACAGACCAGTGGGTAGAATAAAAAAGGAGAGATGTATGTAACAAAAAATCAGCCTGTCTCTTCGGTAAAAACCCTGACTTGTGTGTACCACTTTGATTGACATTAGCAATTATTCTGCCCTTATTTTCCATTGGCCGTTCGACTCGGCCTTTACCACTTGAACAAAATTCTGATGAGACTCAGAGTTCAGACAGAACAAACTTTGTGAAAACCAGATAAGATCCGAGGGAGTCACTGTGTTAGTGGTACCGTGTAATGTTAAACAGCGTTACATTCTTTACCTGTTATGTGCCCATACATTATATCAGTCTTGGCCTTATTTCAGCTGTCACCCTAATTACATGGAGCAGCTGGTAAAGGAAATGTCCATACCCTTCTGTCCCCCATCACAGGGATCCCAATTACTGACGTAACCTCTGGCAGCCACTGATCTTTACATGGTGGCTCCGAAGTTTGTCTTTTCCAAAAGATCATCTAGCTGGCATGATGTGTCCTTTTAGACTGCCTTCTTTCACTAAGCAGTATGTTTTGAAGTTTTCCCCATGCCTTTTCTTTTTCTATTTTTGACACAGTACATGTTGTGAAATGATTACCAAACTCAAATTAGTCAACACATCCATCACCTGTATTAATTACCTTTGCGTGTTTGTGTATGTGGAATGATATATCTAAGGTATTTTTTAAATCAAATGTGAAGTACACAATACAGTGTTGTTACTTAAATTCACCATGTTGTACATTAGATCCCAAGAATTTATATGTCTTGCAACTGAAAGTTTGTACAATCTGACCAGCTGCTACTCATGTCCCCTATCCCTCAGTTTCTGGGAAACCACCGTTCTACTT